AAAAAAAAAAAAAAAAAAAAAAATGGACGGGAAAATAAAAAATGGATAAAACAAAGATATCAATATAGTGGTAGAAATGTATATTTGAAAAAAAAAATGTTATTAGAATATATAATCTGATCACCGCAGGCAGTCAAACTCGGTAGAGCCAGCATACAAACGGTTTACTTTCCTATGAAAATAAAATTAAAATTGTCTTATGATCGTTGTAGTGCGTTTGGAAAAAGACATTTTGGAGTTGTTTGTCGGAAACGTTTTATTTTCACTCAAAATGTTACAAAGTCACTCTGAACCATGAATCAATCCCCGCCCCTCCCCCGTGGTGTTGGTTTGTGTTGACATGTAAACGAGGCAGCACGTGGTATCAGAGCAGCAGTCGACGAGAAAAGTTGTTGTGTGAATATTTTCTGACTAAAAATCCTTCTTTTATTCCTCAAATATGGATCTTTACGGGCTGATACTGGATCCTAAAGGTAAATTACCTATTATATTAGCCATTTATTGTGTAATTAGTTTATTTAGAGCGATATTTAAGAGTTGAATTGAACGTAAAGAGTTCGGTTGCTTGTCGCCATGTTTTGGCGGGATGCATTCTCAACAATTTAGCTTCAAGTTGAACGATTTATTGCTTGAAAAAACTGAAATATCCCAAATAAAATATTCTTTTATGCTTTTTTGGGGATTTAGCAATTTGTTATGGTAAATTATCTATATTTTGTGTGATTTTGTTTGGATTTTACGGTCTCATCAAACAGACTATTGAAGTCAGTTTTCGTTCGGCGTTTGATTTTTGTTTGCGCTTGGAATCTTGAATGAACTTCGAGTCATACTAAAATATGAAATAAATACAAGTCATTATGAGAATAAGAGATATCAGATTTCTCCATATTCAAAGATTACTGCAAGTCCCTTGCGATCGTAGGGTCAGAACTCGCTTAAAGTTCRTTTTGGAAGAATAGATAAACTTTTGTCGATCGAAGTTAGAAAGAACTGCTGCCCATGACTCTTCAGCTTCACCTTCAGAGTCTTGGGATTGAAGGGTTAAATAAATCATTTTTGGAGATAAAAACCGGATTTGCAAGGATTTGGGCAAGCAAGCAAGGAATCATTACAAAATCCTGGTATTTTGGTTTTATTGAGGAGGATGGTTTCGAGGAGTTAAAAGAAACTTGTTGTCACACGACAGTTTTCTTCGCTTCTAAAGCTTTTGACTCATTTGCAATGTTTCTCTTACTAATCTTGTAATCTTACATTTGATCTTACATTTAATTTGTCTTACTTTATTTGCCATGAGATTAAAATTTCCTTGAAGATAAAAATATGTTTTGGTGAAATACATGTATTTAATTTTGGATGCCAACAGACTTCAGTACTTGATGATAGTTGAAAACACCTAGTATGTTAAAGTGCGGGGTTTGTTGGTTTTATTTCTATAACTAAGTTTATTTTTAAGTAAAAGCACTAAAAAGTTTAAAATTTCTCAAATTTCATTTCCCCCAATTCTTCCAGGATTAGAACAATTTGTGGAGCAAGTATTGAATGCAGGGCCCACTGAGGGAATTTTAGGTGGCTTTCCGGTTCCACAGTGAATCCAGGTAAGAAATGATGCATTGGCTTTTGATAATGGCGCAATTCATATAGGATTTGATAATGATTTTGACTTGATTTTCGATTGTGGTTTATAATGATCCATTATTTTTGATAACGGTGCAACTCATAATACAGTCAATAGCCCACTTCAGAGATACGCTTCGTTTGTCAAGTACAAAGGTTCCAGTATGAGGCTCTGTGCTAAATGCACAGTCATTCGTGACAAGAGAAAAGAATAAATTGAATTTAGCACTGAGTCTCCAACTGAAACCTTTATACTTGACAAGTGAAGCGTATCTCGGAAGTGGGCTATGCAAAAAACGTTGTCATTGACCAACTCAAGCCTACTCGACTGGACGAAAAGGAATTCTAGGTAGCAATCGTTGAAGCTGAGTTGACTCCATAATTTTATCTGTCGAGTTATGCCTGGTTTACAGCACAAACCTTTGCAGGGGAGTGAGAAGTGTTGAAGGAGATGTTTTTTTAATGCCTTCATATTTTGAACTGAATCATAAAGACTGCTTTGTTTTTTTACCCTAAACCCAAAGTCATTTGATGGATTGTTTTTCGCCATTATTATCTTATTACTAGCGAGAACAATTTATGATTTCATAGTTCAGCAATTGATGATGTTTCTTTGCGATTTAGTTCTTTAATTTTAATTTTATCCTGTTTTCTTGCACAACATAATACACAATATAGACATGCAAGCGTATAAAAAACTGAAAACAAGCGTTACACTACAGAAAAACTAAGTTCAAAGATAGAATAATAATTGCGACTCACCTTCCTCGAATTTTTTAAATCTGTACATAACTGTACACAACTTATCTGCATCTGTTGGCTCGAGCAAGTATTACTCAATTTCTTGTTCCCATCCAACCTCTTTCCAGGCCATTTTAAAACGGGCATTTTCCTTGATGCATTGTACCATTCTCCATCATATCTAGAGCCAACCACAGTGAGATAATAATGATAATAAATTAATCTGTAAAGCGCAAATTCAACATTCGTTTTCAAATGCGCTAAAAAACATAAAAAATTTATAGTGTATAAAATTAAACATGTATCTATTAAAAATCTAAAACTACTAGAAAATCCTATTTAAACTACTTAATGTTAGACCTACTCTTGCTGATTAGAAAAAAAATTATTTATATATTTTTGTAAGTATATTTATTTATCTTAATGCAGTTTCCTACAGAACGACAAACACATACCCCAAAAGGCAAAAAACAACAACAAAACAAACAAAACAAAACAAAAAAAACAAAACAAAACAAAACAAAACAAAAAAAACCCAAACAAACAAACAAACAAATCCCAGAAATATAATGAACCATTGCACAGAAACAATAGACACATCTAGGACTTTTTCATTGGTTTGGCTCATAGTTCAAACTGCTGCTCGCTCCAGAGTTAATTTGGTAATTAGGCAATCACAAAACTAACCAAAAGTAATCATTCTTTGCCAGTTGTAAAACTTCAATATATTTCTTTTTAGTCAAGAGAATAAGACTTTCTGGCTCTTCTAGTATGTAAGGCAATATTCAAGAATTAATTTTGGCTCACTGCTATAAGTTATCCAAGATGTTCATAATTCACTGCATTATAAAACTTATACATGTTCTGAACAATTTACAACATTTAGTTTATGAAATTTTGCAAAAACTATATAAGTCATTTTGGGTGAGAATGAACAGAAAAACTATGAACCTATCCATTTATCATTCATCCTTTGTAAATTTAACAAATTTACGATGGTTTAGCGTGGTATGTCCTCTTATTTACCACAATGTGATGTCAAAAGTTGGTCAAAATGTTATGGACTCATGAGGCGTAAGCTGAAAAAAACTCACAAAACTCTAGGAAATAGATGGGGCGAAATCCAGAGGAAGAGAAAAGAACAAGAAAATTAATGCCAGAAATCACTCCATTCAAACTCTAAAATTGAAATTAAACAACTTTTCTTGGTGAAGCTGAAAGATAATTTTGACTTTATTTCTCACTTTCAGAATGGTAAATTTTCACAAATATTTTGTTAACAAACTTTTTGATTGGTTTACAAGTGACGAGCGAAAGTGACATGTGACTTCAAATTGGCTTTTCAAAAGCACAAGGTGATGAAAACCAGCGAAAGATAGTTAGAAACACATTTCAAGAAGAATAAAATAACATTCAATTAAGAGTTTGTTGAACTTAAAGTGCCTATAACCTTTATAGGATTATGATCAATCTTGATTTTCTGTGTGTTGGAGATGAATAAAAATTTTCCTTTCTCGATTGACTAAACATTCTCTGAGACATAATGCCCTAAAGTACGCAGTTTTGCCATGCCCCATCGAATTGGACGGGATAAAGGGAAACTGGGACCGAGCAGAGTCTCGTGAGTGGTGACATCACAACAAGTATAAATGTTTTGATAAGCAAAGATTCTTACGTACATTTTGAAGGCAGCTCCTACCATCTCGGTCACAGAATCATCAATATCAAGACCTACTACCATTCTTTGTAGGTAGTCTAACTTTAAAACCACTGGTTGGAAGTCTGTCGAGACATCTCCTGAGTCTCTCAATCTGTCCAAAGCATTGATAACGCTATGAACGGCTTCAATCAAATACGTTATGTCGTCCATGTTTACTCTCGCTATAAGAAAATTAAGTTAATTCAAGTTGTTTGAAAGAATCAAAACGAAAAAAAATAGTACCAACAATGATGTAGAATTAAATATTATGGTAATTTAAGCTTTTAACGTACATTCATTCATTCATTTAGTGAACTTACTTGTTACTTAAAGGAAAAAGAAACAAAAAACATTGTTATTTATAGGAAAACCAATTGCAGCACCATGTGGTTCTCAAATTGATCCATCATTTTGCTTTTCTCCTTATATCACCCCCACACCTAACCCATATGAAAAACTATTCCGCCTGAGTTGCCCGTGGTATTATTCAAATTTATACTGTATAAACAAAGAAGGGTAATAAACTTCCCAAACGGTAGTAATTCTTTTTTCAAAATCCCAGTGGATATTTTCATCACTCTCTAGTAAATTCTTGTATACAGATTGCACGGTTGCCTTAAAAACAAGATATATTTTCCTTAACCTTACATTGAAATATGATACTGAATTCAGAAAAAGATTTATATGTATTGAGTGTAAGAGAACTTCCGCAAATTCGCTATTCGTTGCCTTGGTAAAACCCATAGTAGATTTTTTTCTTTCCAAAGATTATATGATTATATGTGGAATTTCTAAGCTACACTTTTACAATTTTTTCGTTTCTTGGTGGCTGGTCTCTCTTCGTATGTTCTCGTGCAGTCATATCTCTTGAAGTTGAATAAAGAGTTCACCACAAATGAGAAAAACAATCTCAAAGTTCCAAGTAAACACTTAAATCGTCGCTAAAAGCCGCAAAACAATGATTTTTGTACCCCATTACTACGATGGAAAAGGATTCTATATTTCACTATGAGCCTTCAGTTTTCATGGACCACGAAAATCATCTATGACCGCGGTGCATCACGATAAGTGCTAATAGGTCTTTAACTGGTCCATCTTGCTTGCTTGCTGTTGGTTCTTGTTTGTTAACTGGTACATCTTGTTTGCTTGCTGTTGGTTCTTGTTTGTTAAATTCACTAGAACAAAGTTTTTGTAGTCAGTCCAAGTCAAGTTTGCACTAGTTTGTTTTGTAAGTATTTTTCTCGTTCATTTCGCCGGTTCTTGAGTTCTTGATCTACTTTAGTTATTCACTATATTTAACTTATATATTTATTTGTTGTAGAAACCGTATTTAAAATATTAAAACTCCTGGTCACAACCCAATGTGTAATAAGTTTATGGTTGCGCCCACACCCTTCTTGGCTAGTTAACATTGAAGGGATTCAAAGTATTTCGCTGGATTTCATATTTTTTTWAAATACTCAATTTATCTGGTAAAATGAGTAAAAGTTCTTCTATTTTCCTTTTAAAACCTAGTTCTTTGTTTTTTTGTTGAGTTTGGAAGCGAATTCTGTGATGAATTAATTGTCTGAACTTCAATATGAAGGATGACTTTGACTTTGACGGAGTCAACTGAGTCAAGTATAGAGTATAATTGGAAGAAGATCTATTTGCAAACGCTTTCTCTGTTTTCAATTTCAAAGTCAGACTATTTTATTCTAGGAATTATTCGACCTACGATCTCAAAACTGAATATACAAGATAATTGGCCGTTTATGATACAATGGGGACGATCAACAAAAAGCGTTGTGTTACATTGTTTTAAATTACTACATAACTTGACCTTCAAGGGTCACGACTCCTACATTTGTTGCCTGAAATTTCCTGTGAACTAAGCGAATATTTTAGAAATTCATTTAGAAATGCTATTTATTTTGTCTTCATCCAAGTCTGTAAATTACTGATTCATTTTTGGAGCGAATTCTTTTTAGACCTTCGCAGATTTAAACATTCAAGAACATTATTGCTTCGGCTGTTTGTAATGTGCAGCGATTAATTTACTTTTTATTAAGAACGGCTTATTTGAATGACAGAACTGGCCGAACTTCCTTGGAAACTCCATTGGAATTGTTTTTTCTGTCGTCTTTTACTATTTTTTTCTATATTGATTGTTTTCCTAAGAAGCTACTTAGTAAATACAACTTTTGATCAGTTATAAAACTTCGCTCAATCAAGTTTATAATAATTTTTACTGAATACCGCCGTGACTTTGAACTCTCTCTATGGAGAACAAAATCCTCCAGAGCTTGAAATCAGACTCGTCTTTAATTCTAATGAAAAGAGCTTTTTTTGATGCTTCGGGCTCGATCTACAAGTCTTCTGAATAATCAAAATGTCGACGTTGCACATAATCGTTCTTGTTTTACTTTAATACATCACAAAAAAAGGTTTGACTCATTGAAATTTTATTTCAGAAAGAAATAACAACCACAACAACAACAAATATTTTTCTTATGATCTGTTAACTAAGTAATTAATTTATACCCCTTAAGCAATTTCAAAACCTATGTAATAAATAAGCACATTGTCATAATTAGTAAATGACACGTGAAATTTAAGTTTGAAACTTGTTTCATCATAAGTATCTAAGGAGATTGGGTCAGCTGACCTGTTTGAGCAGTTTACATAATTCCCATGAATGCCCTTATAACCAAGACAATACAATATTTTGTTTAACCTCCTTTGCAGCAATTCTTATGGTCGTCAGCAACATTCCGTGACGACCCTAAGAACGGCCGCAAAGGAGGCTACATTTTGTTTGGCCAAAAGGAGAGATCTCACTAAACAAATGAGGTACACTAATAGATAATAAAGCAAACTATTAAATCTACAAGTGAAATAAACCTCTGACTGTCCCCAAACGAAATGTTGACTTAACAATCATTCAAGGATAAACAAACAAAAATAAGATAATTATTAAGTTACTAGCAAACTTACCAATTTCACGCATAGCTGTTTCCATCTGATATTTCTTTTTTTGTTTGATTGCCAAACATGCGACCTATGAAAATTATAAACTATTGCTGAGTTATTGTTGTCATTTTACATAATTCAGCTTTCACATTTGACTTACTTGGTTAAGAAGTTTTCCTCTTATTCTTAGCATAAGGTGGAGGGTGTCGGGGACTACATTCGCGAATTCAATCGGCACCAGAGAATCATGTTTAACACCGAATTTGTCACCATCAGAGTTAGCTAGTTTGGAACATCTTTCTATGGACCTTTTGATAGGCCAGTCTTCAAATGGAATCAATGTTATAGATATACCCAGGTTGCCAACCACTGCCTTGGAGGTTGGCACTATACAACATCTTTACAGCATCACAAAGCAGCATGAAACAGTCATATGCCTTTGAGGAAATTTTCTGAGCCAAAACCTCTCTTGCAACACTGCTGAATGTATGAAAAAAAATATGCAAGTTATAGAAACTTTTTATTAAGGTTGACATTTTCCAATATTTACAATTTCCAACAGTTGGGAGACACCACAAATAATATGCTCTACAAATGACTATGCTTATCCCAAAATAAATCGTAATTTTTGGGTTGAGCTGTTTACCTCTTAAATTCATTAGACTTCCAGCCTCCATGTTTGTCTGTCATTGTTTGCAGTCTGGCAACTCCCTTTGCTCTTTCCTTGGCCGTCCATTCAACGGACTGGAGAGCTGAGGCAAACTCTTCCCGATGAAGAAGCCCACCATCAGAAGGATTTCTGTCAGTAATTGGTTTTCCTGCATTACCTCCAAGACCCAACCACATCTTACTCAAAAACTCTCTTTTCAGCATGTTAAATGTGAGATGCATACGGTCTATGGTCATATCGAATATTGGGTCAAAGTTGTACAATTTGTAGAGATCAAATAGAATGCTCATTCCACAAACTCCTGTTTCAACTTGTATTTGTTGCCGCTAATTTGCTGTTGTAGCAGCATTCACCTTCTTTCCATTTTGTTATTGGTAGGCAGCAGTTTGAAGAGGATAATGCTTGGCCTTAGGAAATATGGCCATATATCATCAGGTTTGAATTTTTGAACTGGTTGTCTGTGAAGAAAAGACTGCATTTAAATGATGCCATCATGGTATTTAAATGTATTCATAAATTAGTTCCTGACTATTTACATAAAAGTTCGTCTTGGGTTCAAAAGTCCATACTAGGAACACAAGGAATGTAAAGAAGAACCAGTTAGATATTCCTTATTTCCGTCTTGCCACAGGGCAGAGATCCATCTTTTATAGAGGTTGCCAATTATGGAATAACGTTAGTGATGATCTTAAATCTGTAGAAAGCTTAAATGTCTTTAAGCGCAGGGTAGTGACTCAGTTACACTCAGGTTAGTGAATCTCGGTTCCTGCTGACCWGTGCACTGAACTGATCCATTGCTCTGTGCTTGAAGATGTTTCTTATTATTATCTTCTATTATTGAATATATTATAGAATTAATATACTAGTAATTAAGTTTAAGAGCGACTTTCTGTAAGAGTTGACAAAACATCGGCACAAGTCAAAAAATCCAAATATGAGTTCTTAGTGTAAAATAAATCGAGGTGTTGTTAGTTTWAAAAAAAAAATTTTTCCCACAAAATTTACGAAAATAGATTTCGCCCAAATGCAGGGGAAAAATGACCGACGAAGTCAAGGAATTTAGTACAAAAATAAGCGCATCCTACAGCTAAACTACTTAACGATATTTTCGGTTGGTACTTTTTACCGAAGAAATAGGTATTCCTCTTGTTTTTTGTTGTATTTATTCTAGAATATTTGGCGATTTAAGATTCAAAAAATTTTTTCTACCGTGTACACTTTTTGCAAAGTTTAAAAATGCAAATTAAGGCCTTAAAATACTGCTTATAAAAACTATGTGCGGAGATACCAAATTATTCTAAACCTACACCCAGAGGATTATATAATGTATTTCTATCAGATTGAAAAGAAAAATTTCTGGGCAAATCATTTTTAGATTTACGTTTTTTCCATTTTTTTCATTCCAATGTTGGAAATGATCTCTAATTTTTTGCTTGGTAAGAAATATGGAATCCAAGTTCAGTCCAAGGACAAAGTAATGAACACAGTGATCTTTTGAATTTCCATAGTTTGGGCATGCATCACCATTAATAAAACTAACATGATCTGTTCCACGACATATTTTGTAATGACGTGAATTCTTGTAACCTAGTTTCTTTAAAAATCTTATCACACATGGCCATGTCTTGTGAGGAATGTGTGCATCATTGGTTAATTCATACAGGTTTTATTGTTTGTGTCACACGTTTTATAACTGACGAAAGTTTTAAGGAAATTAAGTTTAACGTGTATGAGAAACATACCATTGAATTTTGCCTTCGAATGGGTTTAGTTTACTCCCAAAACTGTAAATTGAGGTCTCATAAAATTGCCGTTTCCATGGGAACGGTACATTTGGTGACCAATTTGTTGATGTTTTTGTGTATCCCATATAATGACCTACTCGCACATCAAATTTCAAGGGTGGTCAAAACATTTCATTTCCCACTTGAACCTACTCTTAATGTAAAGTGGAAACTGTAAAACAAAAAGCAAATTTGATTTACAACAATATGATTACATCAAAAAAATTTTTTTTTTTTAGATCTGGTGTCATCATGAACACAAGAGTCCAATATGTTGTTGCATAACAATCTTTAATGCTTACACTCGCACACATACGATCACTCTCAATTACATGATTACGTCATAGCTTCATCCGGGAATCCAGGATACTACATTTTTTCCCTTCAAAGATAAAAGATAATGTCAATGTTCAATCTCTAAGGACTCTTCCAATATGATCAATAATTAATCTCACAACTCTCATTACGTTGACATATCATATTGTAATAACTAAATGATGTCCTTTCATAGACGCATTGTCTTTATGCACAGTCCTTGTGGTGAGCTGGTCCTCTTCGGTTTCTTTTTGGCCTTTCTGTAGCTTGCTTGGTTTGTAAAGTTGGTTGCACTGGTTTCTGTGGTTCTTGCAGTTGGTCTGAGTTGTTTGTGTTCGGTATCACCTTCATGTCGTGTGATGTTTGGTTGTCTTCTGGTTCTACCTTAGTTTCCTTCCTGGTTTGTAAGCAGTTGTCCATTTATTTCTCTTTGTCTGCTTTAGTAGGGCATAATCTTCAACAATATAGTTGTGTTTTTTTGTGTTCTTGTTCTCTCTGTGTTTCGTTATCTTGTCTTTCTTCTTTTTGTCTTTCTCGTTGATCTCTTTCTCTCGTTGTCGATGTTCCTCTTTCCTTGGGTAGTGGTCTAGCTTTGTTCATGCTTGTCTGTTCATGCTTCATATGGTGTCACTCCTGTATCAGGGCGTAGCGTAGATCGGTAACCAATAATCATGTCTTGTATGACTGCGGTACAGTCCTTTCCTTGCAGGTGGGCAATCTGTTCACTTTTGTTAATCGTTTTCATGAAGCTTTCTGCCTCCTCGTTGGCTCTACATAAGTAATTTTAAAATAGGTATCCACTTAAGGTTCTTGAACATGGCAGGTTCTTTGCTTTTGGTCTTCATCCAGGATGACTTGGGCAGCTCTCTTATATAGTTTAAAGATCTTGCAGATGTTTTCACGTGATCCCCATGCTGTACTGCCATATAGCATGATCGGTTTAATCATCGAGTGAAAGAACAGTTTCCTTATATTTAATGGAAGGTTATGTTTGATGTGCTTTAAGACTCCAATCATTTTTGATATTTTTTTACTTAAAACTTCAATGTCATCATCGAATTTTAGTTTGCATCAACTCGGACACCTAGTAGTTTTTAAGAGTTAAGGTATTTGCCCTGGCAAAATTTCGTTCATATTTAAAGTTTATTTTTGTCACACACAGTAAGATTTTGGGAGTCAATTGTACTCCACCGATAAAGTAGAAGTGACTCCCAAAACAGACTAAAATGACTCTTTGGAAACTTGAAGAGTCAAATAAGCTCCGATTCCAGAGTTGGGTAAATTGGAGTTGAAACTACTCCTATGCAGAGTTAAAATGACTCTTAGAAACTTGAAGAGTCCACTAAGCTTCTCTTCCAGAGTTGTGTAATTGGAGTTAAAACCACTCCTTTGGCGAGCAGATATCATTCAGTTCTGAATGTTGGAGTAAAAATTACTCCTCCTAGTGCAAAGATTCTATTGAATACACGTTTCGACATTACATATTATACCAAGCAAGCCGATTAAGACTTGAGTCTCTTTCTTATATGAAGTGGTCGCAATTTATTCATCACGAGGAGTACAGCATATACCAAAACAATAACAAAAGTGATAAAAATCAATTTGGTTTGCTTTATATTTTACTAAAAAATAAAATAAAACGCAGAGACGAGTGTTAAGTCATTGAATGGGAAATTATTTAATTTTTTTAATGCTTAGCTAATCGTCATTAACAATTGTTGAGAAACTTAAGTTTCTCAATTTTTGATTGGTTAATGAAAAATATAAACAAATAATGTGATTGACTACAAAATTGACATTTTGTTATTTCTTGTCATGGATGATAGAAGGTCATTTCATTATCAATGAATCTGTCAATCCATGAATCAAGGAATCTGCAATCAATCAATCATATTACTACTACATTACAGTTCGCGGAATAACATTTAGGTGCCCCTCTAATTGAGTAGACAAAATACTTTACAAGATTTTGGATGGTTCTTTACATGTTTTTATCTTTCAGACGGTTTGATGTGTTGGCATGTCTTGTTGACCTATCAAGGGCAATGGCAAATAGTAATCCTTGAGATCACTTTGTTGTATTACATTCGAGTAGACTGGGTTTATCATCTTCCTCAAAGACATAAAAATGTGAATTCCAACCAAGGGTTGTTGTTGGGGTTTCTTTCAAATACACAAATTTTCCTCAGCTCTGCAAATTGTGCATCCTCATTTTGATTATTACCAATGCAAACAATGCAGCCTTCCTTCTATGTTCCATTTATAGTTACCCATTTTAGCTCTAGACAAAAATAAACAAACAAAAAAAGAAAAGAAAATCAAATGGATTGTAATGAATCAGGTACTTCCAGAACCAGACTCCCTTCCTTCATGGTTTTTCRTCCAGCAATGAATAATGCTGCCTTAATTTAGAGTATATGATAATGTATACCAACTGCTGTTATCGATTAAATATGTCAATTTTAAAAATCGTATACATATAGTATACATACAGTTTACAATGGACTACGCTTTTAAATCTAACCAAAGTAGTATAGGGAATGGGGGTTCTAGCGCAACGACAACCGGAGGATTACCCGTCTAAAGTACCCATCTCGATTCGTACGGCGATTACCCGCATCCCGCGTCTATGTAAGATATGTTAGTCTATATATGGAGTGCGAAGATTGTAAGAGAACTTTTAAGAAAGAAGTGG